TGAGCCTGGTGGGATTTGAACAGCCGAACTGCTGAACTACAGTCATCTGAAGTAGCCTGCAGTGCTGCATTTAACCACTGCGCCACCTCGGCTCAACAGGAGCTCACTCGGTTACAGTGGCCCTAGAGATTCAAACCGCTGAATTTCCAACCTTTCTGATTGACAAGCTCAGCTTACAGTAGTTCATTTAATGACCATTCGAAGTTACAACCAAGAGAGAGTTGAATCCAGGAATGCCAATTGGGTGATTCTGGTAGTCTACACATCTTAAAGCGGCCAAGTTTTGAAAAACAGTGATCCGTTTCATAAAGTCCCCTACTCCTCAGAAGGGGTGGCGGAATTGTGGCAGAAAATATAGAAAGGGATGGAAAATATCCAGCAGAAGAAGAAGAAGAAATCAGCAGAGGACAACAACCGGATAGACCAATATAAAAAGTGACAATCCCCTTTTGAATTCCCAGCCAGTTAAACTGAAAAAGTGCTAAATTGTTCCCATCGTTGGTCATAAACAGCTGCAGGAGCATCAAGGGGAAAAAAGCCTCAGAAACTCTTTTCTCATTGTGTTGGCAATTTTTGGGATATAAAAGGTGTTATTTTTCCTCGAAAGCTGGCCCCAAGGACTTCAGCACTGCCAAAAATAAATTCCGTGTGTGTGTGTTTGTGTGCGTGTGTTTGTACGAAGTGTGGCTGGTGTTTACGGACTTGCTGCGAATGTGGATCATGCCCAGTGGTGAAATTTATTTATTTATTACTACCGGTTCTGTGGGCATGGCTTGGTGGGAGTGGCAGGGGAAGGATACTGCAAAATCCCCCATTCCCACCCCATTCTGGGGCCAGCCAGAGGTGGCATTTGCCGGTTCTCCAAACTACTCAAAATTTCCTCTACCCATTCTCCAGAACCTGTCAGAACCGGCTGGATTTCACCCTTGGTCATGCCCATGCTTAGCAAAGGGACATTTCTCAGAAAGTTAAGGGCACCATAATATAATCCAAGGGATGCGATGGCTCAGTGGCTAAGACGCTGAATTTTTCAATCAGAAAGGTTGGCAGTTTGGTGGTTCGAATCCCTAGCGATGCATAACGGAGTAAGCTCCCATTACATGTCCCAGCTTCTGCCAACCTAGCAGCTCGAAAGCACGTTAAAAAAAAAGATTCAAGTAGAAAGGAAGGAAGGAAGGAAGGAAGGAAGGAAGGAAGGAGGGAAGGAAGGAGAGTAGGAGAGAAGAAAGGAGGGAAGGAAGGAGGGAAGGAAGGAAGAAGAAGTAGGAAAGTTGTAAGATAAGATGGAGTTATGGGATGGTAAGAAAGCAATTTCAAGTATATTGTCAGCTGCAGGGGAAAAAATTGTTATAAATACATATTATTAATAACAGTTATGAGATCATATAATTGTGAATGTATATATGAAATTAATAAAATTTTCAAAATAAAATAAAATGGGAGGGGCAGTCTCATTTAATAACTGTTTCACTTAGCAACAGAAATATTGGGCTCAATTGTGATTGAAAGTTGAGGACCACTGTAGCACCAGGCCAGCTCTTGTCTGCCGGTCGATGTATTAGCATGTCTGATGGCCTCTCAAGACCAAATTTTGTTCTTAAAATCGATTCGTAAAGCAAAGAAGAGCCCTTAACTATGAGCCTTTCAAAAGCTGCTTCCTCTGCACTTCATCGATCTTTTTTTTAATTTAATTTTAATTGAAGAAAGTTTTACAGAATAAAAAACAAAGGTGATAAGTCAAGAAGCAAATAACAAAGGAATGAAAGAGAAATTTAAAAATATATATATATTCAGGAAGTGGCTTCCAATCTGCTGTGTTTCAGTTACACATGATTTAGTATTTAATTCTTTATAGTGGCTCTCTTCTTTCCATGTTCTCTCCTTTCTAATCATCGAACCCATAAATCACAAGCTCATTCCCGCCCCTCATTTTCAGCAAAAAACATTAAAGGTTTCCACTCACTGATATAGTTATCGTGTTTTCTCTAACCACAAACTATTTTTCTTCTTCTCTGCTAATTGTTCTCTTTCCCAACAGTTCCTCCTTTCTGGGTATTTCAAAGACATTCCATCCATCTTACTTCACAAGTCCTCATTGTGTTTTGTGTATGTGCTGAGCCTATTACTTGTTGCGCACTGAAAAATTCTTATTAGTGCATCACCTCCAATATTTTCTTTCAGTCATTAAGGCAGTTGTAATTTTAGCGAGGTTGAAAATCCTAAATGCTTGTGACTTTTCCTACAGTTGTATTGAATCAGCTTTCCCTCTTTCTTCCTCCCAATAAAGGCAAAGGTTCTAATCGTGCTAATCGTTCCTGACTCTAGGGGGCGGTGCTCATCTCTGTTTCAAAGCTAAAGAGCCAGCGCTGTCTGAAGACGTCTCTGTGGTCATGTGGCCGGCATGACTCAACGCCCGAAGGCACACGGAACTTTCCCACCAAAGGTGGTTCCTATTTTTCTACTTGCATTTTTTCCGTGATTTCAAACTGCTAGTTTGGCAGAAGCTGAGACAAGTCATGGAAGCTCATTCTGTTACATGGCGCTAGGGATTCGAACCATTGAACTGCCGACCTTTCTGATTGACAAGCTCAGCGTCTTAGTCACTGAGCCACTCCCAATACAGACACACATAGAAATAAGTATAATACAGTCTTGGCAGTCATAAATGTGACGGGACCTGATTTTATTACCCTTTTTTTTGCTATAGTTATTAAGCAAACACCATGTCATAGTGTGAACACTGTGACATTAAATGAACGCGACAATCACTAAGCGATTGCGATGATCATTTAGTGTACAATGAAGTTGTTACAATACAATAATACAATAGCAGAGTTGGAAGGGACCTTGGAGGTCTTCTAGTCCAACCCCCTGCCTAGGCAGGAAACCCTACACCATTTCAGACAAAATGAAGATATCCAACATCTTCTTAAA